ATATTTGGAATTAAACGTTAGTTAGTGTAGATACTTGATTTTGGTTACTAATATTTTATTTTTTAAAATTTTTTTAAAGTTGTTAAAATTAAAGATAAGTTAGAATAGGTAATAAAATTGTTTCAATAAAAATTATTTTACAAAACAAGTAATAAGACTATTTCAATAAAAATTATTCTATGAAACAATTATTTTTGAAATAACTTTTTTTATAAAATAACTATTTACAAAACAACTATTTAATGAACAACTCCTTCATAGAACAATACCTTCATGGAATAGTTGTTCTCAGAATAACTTTCTCAAAGAACAAGACCAACACTTTTACTGAAAATTTTTGAAAAAAAAGTTGCTTCACTAAGAGTTATTACATAAAAAATGCTTCATCGAATACTACTTCACTAAAAGAAGAAGTGAAAATAATCTCAAAATATGGTAGGGTTCTTGGATTAATTTCACTATTAGGATATTCCAAAAAGTTTGATCTGACAGATCAAATATGGAGATAGTTAAGATGTTTCTCTTAACCTTTTCTTAAAATATGAGTGCTTTTCTTTTAGAATAAATAATGAACTTTTATATTCACTATATCTATCACCAAAAACTAATAAAACTTTCATTAACCAATATATTAATATATTCTGTAATGGTCAATTATCTCATTATTCACCATTATTTCTATTCATTACTCAAGATATGTAACTAATATTCTTGAAATCTATAAATAAGAGTTTTCATAATTCATTAGGAACTTTTGGACTTTGGTAAATTTTTCATAACTTTCTTTCAAGCTTTCTCTCTACAATCCTTTTTTCCTAAATCCTTCTTTCAGTCTTATTCTCTTCTCTATTTAGCTTTACTTCACTATCCACCATCACCTGCTTCTACACTCAATACTTTAGAGTTTGCTTCAATCTTCCTCTCAATCGTCTCTGTGCATATTCTGTTTTACTTATTTGCAACGCTTCTTTATCTTAACAAAGAACCCATTTACAGTTAGTAAAAGTAAAAATAAAATTAAAAAATAAAAGGAAAGATGGTATATAAATAGATATACTTGAGGAGTTTTTGAACTCAAATATATTGGCGTAAACAAACATAACTTTTGATGAATTATATATGAACATGTTAAGTTTTTATTCGTTTATTATACTTAATAAATAATCTAAAATAATATTTTTATATTCATTTATTAAACAAACCGCACACGAATAAAGATTTAATTAGTTTGTTTATATTCACAAATAAATTCGTTTAACGTTCGTTTAAAATTCATTAATTTATTGATTGTTTATAATAATAACAAAATTACATTTTTATTTTTTATTCTAATTTTATTTTAAGGTTCATTTATATTCATTTAGGATTTATTTGTTTAAATTTATTTTGTTATAATTCATTTATTGTTTATTAACATGTTTGTTTATATATATTCGTGAATATATTCATTTAATGTTCACAAACAAATTTGTTTAATTTAATCAAACCAAATACGAATCGAACGCAAACATTTTATCATTTAAATAATTCGAACTAAAATGAATAGAATAATTTTCTTATAAAAAACGAACTTAATCCGAACATCTTTAAAAATAAATGAACATACTATAAATATATATTAATTTTTTCATATTTGATTTGTGTGCAGCCGTACTTAGATGACAATGGATAAAATAATAACGCTATATGAAATAAATAAGTATTATATTTTGGTTGGTTCAATCGGTTAAAGTTCATTTTTTTCAACGAAGAGCTTTTGGATTTGAGTCTTGTCGGTGACCATTTATTAAGATTATCTTGAATGCACGACTTACAGCTACCTGTCTTAGACTGTCGGTACAACACATTTTACCTTGAACTGAAAGATTAAATAACCTATCTACCTCCGAATTTTTCTTACCAAAAAATAAATAAATATTATGTTATTCACTTTAAATATTTGTATATATATTACTATTAATAGCTTTTTTAAATTATTATTTTGATATGATCTTTTAGTCCAATAATTTTGTACAAATTAAATATATTATAAATTATATAATATACCAACTTTGATTTAGCATCCAAAATGATAAATTTTCATTTTCATTGGTAACCATTTTTAATATTCAAATGCATATTTTAGCAATAATTTTAATTTCATATTACAGCACCAATTTCACTCTACAGTAACTACAGCAACCGGGATCCAAACATTAATGGAAAGCAAAAAAATAAAAATCAACTGATCAGGAATGAAACAACTACTTTCCACCTAAGCCAAGCGTTACAATTTGGCTAGGTCCCGAGGGAAGCTTACCAAAATTTTGGATCTGATTGTTCAGTAGAATACGATTTTTAGGAAATAATTTTTGTATTTTTTATATTTATATGATAAAATTTTGATTGGTTAATAAAAAATAACTTACTAATAAATAGAAAATGATATATTTTTTTTAAATTGACTTTTCTTTTCTTAAAAAATTTTTTTTTTAAAAAAACCTATCTACGAGTATAATTATTTACAAAGCTCGTGAATATAATTCAACTAAAATAGGATCTTAAACATTTTTTTAAAGTTTGGGCTTAATTTGATTTGACACAAATCATTATTTTATTAATAAAAATTATTTTATCTAATTTTAATTAAAAAATTAATATTAAAAGTCATATAATATTTTAATTTTTAATATTTCTATATTAATTTTTAATATTTTCATATTTTTAATCAAGCTGATTTTCGAATATGATTGTTTAAATTCATATTTAATTTGACCTTATCTGAAATAATATTATATTAATAAAAAGTAATTTTTAATATTTTAATTCTAAATATTTGCATTTTGAATATTATTAAACATAAATATTTTATTTTTCAATAATAAATATTATTTTATTATAATTTTAATAATAAATAATTTATATAGTAAATAAATTTTTAATTATTTTAATAATTAATAGTTTAATTTAATAATATTATTTTAATAATATGACTATCTTTAATATTTTTAATTGAAAATATATTATTTTTATATTTTATTGACAAATGTATTTATATTACTATTTCAATAATAAATATAAATAAATAATACATTTTTATAATTTAATAATAAATATTTTCAATATAAAATATAAGTATTTTAATAGTAAATATTTTTAATGTTTAGATAATAAATAATAAATTTAAAATATTAGTATGTTAATAGAAATAATATTTCAAGAAAAATAATGCTACTTTAAATATTTTAAAATATTAATATAAATAATAATTTATTAATTTAATATTAAAGATTATTTAATAAAATAAATAATAATTTTAATAATAAATAATTTTAATATTTTAATAATTATGTTAATAATATTTCAATGAAAACCACTTCATTGGTAGCCTAATTATGGTTATTGTAAGTTTATTATGTTTAAGAATAATATTAACTATTTTATACACTCAAAAACTATTTTATTTAGATAAAATCTTATAATTTATATTATTATGGAAGTAATTTGTAACTTTTATAAGACTATTTTTTGTGTAAAAAAAATATAAACTATTTTTATTGTATTTTAAGTTTGTATGATCTTGTTATAATGATTTTATTGGTTGTATTTTTAATTATTAATTGTTATTTTTATATTTATGACATTTATTATTATGATTATGGATAAATGTAAAAATATTATTTTGATGTAAATACTGATTTTCATAAAAGCATCCAAACACCATTAAATATTTTTTACAAAATCATCCCAATAACAGAAAATATCAAATTTTTCCAAAAAAAAAAAAGTACTTTTCAGAAATTGCTTTGAAGAAGTCATTTTCAGTTAAACTAATGGAGCTTTTGTGTTGAATAATTCCCCGCAAATAAGATGCTCAATCAAGATATAAACAACTGACAGAAGCGAACTCTATCTATATGCTATGAATTTTTTGCGAAGCTTACCAGTTTCTTTGTGTCAAACTTGTTTTAAAAGAAAAAAAAAATCATCAAATCAAGCTAGTAATTCGTCTAATTGTAGTGTAAGTGATTGGTAATTCATGTAATTCATATACAAAAGTAAATTAGTTTTAATTCTAGAATTGACTCTTGGGTCTCAACTCTCAATCACAACTTGCAGTCGAGGAGAAACAGATAAGGAAATTAAAAGCACTTGCTTCTTGAGTTGAGTCCTATGTCAACGAAAAGTTGTGGTGCAGTGAAAAGGATGCAATGCAAGGTTCTTGTCTTGACATAAATTGAGATTTTATCGTACAAAACACAAGACGAATAAGAGTTAGTATACCTAAAGCTACAGGATTTTACATTAATATCTGCAAATATCAAATTTTAATGAACGGGATTAGTATGATCATACTAATAGCTACCAACTGAACATAAACTTTCTGTTAAAAATTACATTCCCAGACACATAAACTAAAAACATAAAAAGGAAAAGAACAGATGCAAAACGTGAAACCTATGGAACTAAACAAACTTCTGCAAAGAGTTTGAGACAAAAGAAATGCCGGTTGACAACACCACAACACAACAATTTAAATGATAAAATCATTCTAGGTTTGACAAGTTTTATATGATTTTATGTTTCAGGTGGCAGAGAAACTTAACCCAGAAATGACAGCCGAGATAGAAGCAAATCTTCCCTCTAATCCATTTCTCAACCATCCAGCTAATGGAACAGGATTTAATTACAAATGAACTCCAGAATAATGTGACCTTATCAGCTGATAAAACACCTCAAAAGAAATAAACAATTACCAACGTTTTAGTTGACGACCACCATCAAAAACCAAAAAAGTTTTTTTTCCAGAAACCTTAAATCTATATTGTGTTGTTAGGATTGTGATCTTAAACTACCTTTTACTACTGCGTTATAATATAATTTTGGGACAAACAATCAGATCTCAACTGATGAGTCCAAATGAAGTATGTATCGACTTTACCTCTTTAGGAGAAGAAATTGTTTCAAGAAGAGAATTAAGCATTAAGAACATCAGACAATCCTTGTATGGGCAATTGAACTTGCTTCAAAAGATGTATACATTCATTCATTTGCAATTTTGCTTCAAACTTACACGACAAAACATAATCCACACATAAATAAAAATCAAATATCAAAAACCAAAACAATAAGTCCAACTATTCCACATTTTTGGACATCCGGCGTTTCTCAACACAATCATCAGAGCCAACAACACTTCTCCTCTTCTTTCTCCTCAACTTGTCACACAAAAATACCTTCTCCAGCCGCTCCACCCTTCGAGACAATGCACTCAACAACCTATTCTGCATTTCGTTTCTCTCAAGCAACACAGTCATCAATCCCATTATTTTCTCATTATCCTCCATCATCCTCCCTAACAACTCCTTACTCCTTTTATTCTCCCCACAATCTTCCTTGTTATTTTTATTCCCTTCCTTCTCATCATCAGCATCCAGCGCCGCTTCCTCTTCTTCAACTAAATTCTCAAGATTCGCAGAATCGACTTGACTCTTGCTCTCCATACTCTCCTCATCCTCCTGATTTGCAACAACTTGTTTATTTGATTCAACAGTTTCCTGCTTTTGCAGAATCACTTTTGATTCATTCAAATTAGGCACAAATTCAGCATCGTTGGTTATTTCATCATGATTTTGCGACTCTAACGTTTGATTGCAATTATCAGCAGAATCGGTAATACCTTGACTTTGATCAATTGCTTCAGTATCGTTGGTTATTTCATAATCATTTTGCGACTCTAACGTTTGATTGCAATTATCAGCAGAATCAGCAATACCTTGACTTTGATCAATTGCTTCAGCATCGTTGGAATCTATTGATTGGTCTCCGGAAACAACGGCGTCAACCAGTTCTTGTAACGCAATAGCCTTTTTAATGACAGATTTCCTGCAATCCCTAACCCCAGAATCCACTCCTCTAACTGAATCCAACTTAAGAAGCAAGCCCATCAGCATCTCGTTCACTTTCAATCTCTCCTTTGAATCATTTCGAATCAAATCGACAGTTTCTTTCTTCGAAACACTACGCTCGATGTCATTCACTTCCTCCCTTATTGCCTTGATCCTCTTCATGTTTTTTCTCACTAGGAATCCCCTAAACACCTTCTGGATCTTGATAACTGAGTCGGATGTGCCCCGCTCCGACCCGACGAAGCGGACGGGGATCGACACCACCTTGGGATTCAAAGGCTGAGGCGGCATGGCTTTGGGTTTGAGCTGGACCGGTATCCCTCTCAGGCTTTGCTCGTAACAAGGGCGAGACGAGGCATTCCAGGGATTTCCGAAAAGAGGAAAGTCCATTAGTCGCCTTTTGATGATATCGACAGAGAATTTCTTGACAGCTTTTCTTCTGACAAAAGTAAATTTGAGATGTTTTTGTATTTTCCAGATTGATGAAACAATGAAGCATTGGCCATGGGGATATTATACGGGTACTTGGGGACTTCTGGATCCAGGGTTCCAGAAGGAGAAGGTGGATCTGGAAGTTGCAAGAAGATTCTGGAGAAGATGTATCCAGGTTTTTTTCTATTTGCCCGCGTGTCTTGGTTGAATGGGTTAGAATTAGGCTTATGACTTTGACTTTTGATGATATATCATTTTATAGACATGTTAATTACGTGCGTTAGATTAAACTTGGGTCAAATCAATTTAATTTGAGTTGTTTTTTATCTTAAAAAATTAAATTAATCTTGAATTTGATCATTTTGATTTTAAGTTATTTTGAATTCAAATTATTTGAGTTTGGATTATTTTAAGTTTGAGTATTTTTTATTTAGGATAATTTCAGATTCAAGTTATTTTGCTTTTAGTATTTTAAGTATTCGAATTATTTGAATTCAAATTATTTAAATTCAAATCATTCGAGTTCAAGATATTTAAGATTCAATTTGTTAATTTTTATAATTAAATTAGATTAAATTTAAATAAATTAATTGATTTAGTTTGAATTAAGTTTTATTATAACTTTGACAAATAATAAAAAGTAAAAATAAATAATATTTTAAAAATAAATATTATAGTTTGTATACTTTAAATTAAAGTTAATTTTTATATAAATGAAAAAAAGTGATTTTATCATATTTAGACAAATTTAAACATGATATGATAATATGACACTATATCAACATAAGAAAAATCGTATAAGTTTTAGAAAAAAGTTGATAACACTAAAATATGTAAAGATTTACAATTTTTTATGCAAAAAATTTAAAATTTGTTTGAATTTGGTACCTTTAATGTTTGTTTTCCTAATCTTTAGGCATATATGCTTGGGACTTGAATTTCATGTAAAAGTTCATACAAGATTACGACAAGCTTAATCTTTGTAATATTCGACTATGCAAGAATCATTTTTAGCCGAATCCAACTTGAACTAGGTTTTTTAAATTCACTTGATGTAAGGAATCTTAGTGGTAATCAAACTCCTACAAGTATTTGATATTTGAAGACTTATATTTAAGAAAGGATTCTTTAATGCATTCGGCCCAAAAGAGTTTTAATTGCATAATGACTCTTTGATCACCATTGAAAGACTTATATTTGAAAAAGACTTTTGCAAGATTTATACTTAAAAGTTTGGATGAAAAGTAACTTTATAGCTTTGAACATCTAAGATTAGCTGAACCTATTAATATAAATAAAGAGGTTCATTTTTGTATTTGACACATCTCTCATTACATCTCATATCCCATTCTACACATATTTTCTTTTTTTTTTCTTTAGTATTTTAGGTTTATTTTAAGGTTTTTTTGTATTAGGCTAAGGTGACAAATTTTGGCCATTACAAAACTCTTGTTTTCTTAAATTTTTTTTCTTTAATACAAGCATTCTTTTGGTTTCAAGATCTATTTCTTTTTAAAACTCTTTTACATTCTTTCAGTTTTTCAAGTTCTTTTATACTTTATAAGTTTTGGTCAAAATCTTTCTTTCATATAAGCTTTTGATTTAATGGAATCTTGTTTCAAATCTTTATTTTATGCAATACTTATTTTTGGCCAAACTTTCAATTTTCTCAAAGCATTTTTTTATTTCAAATTCTTGTTATATTCAACCTTAATCTAAGATTACTAGTGACAGTTGGATATTGAGATCTTGGCATATATTATTCTTTTTCTTTTTTTTCAATTACAATAAGATCAAATCTTTCATTAGTTTAGATATAAGCTTGTGGTAATTGTCAATCTTGGTACTTGAATCCACCTAACAATTAAATTCAACAATCTTTATGAGAACGATACTCTACTCACTCACTCAATTACTTGATTATGATATATGCACTTACAGGCATTATAAAAAATAACAATAAAGTTTTTAGCAATGTTGCCAAATATTATAGCGGTATTCAATTCAATATCAATAGGGATTTTTTACTTTCTTGTAATCTAAACATTTAATTTTATTTTTTTAAACTGTTTTGATATTTTCTTTGTTTATATTCTCGATCTAAAAGTGTTGATCTAACTCCATTTGACGTTTGAAAAGAGATTGATATTGGCATTTGAGAATAGATCAAACAACACCAGCTACACCAATTCAAATGGTAATGCAAACAACGAAGGTTATTGAACATTGAGGGACTATGTTGTCCCTAATGCTGATGGATTTCAACCATCCATAAAAAGGCCAACCATACAAGCAAACAACTTTAAAATAAAGCCTTTTATTATCTAATTGGTCTAAACTTCTGTACAGTCTGGAGGGTTATTAAGCAATGATCTAAATCTCTACTTATCTAATTTTCTTGAATTATGTGATACTTTTTAAATACAATAGTGTTTCAAATGATGCTATTAGACAAAAACTTTTTCTTTTTTCTCTCAAGGACAAGGTAAATAGTTGGTTGTCTTTTTTACCATCTAGATTGATCACAACTTGGAATGATTTGGTGCAAAAGTTCCTTACTAAGTTCTTTCCACCTGCCAAGATAATCAAGTTAAGGAACAAAATAACTACTTTTATGCAATTTAGTGGTGAGAATCTTTATGATGCATGGAAGAGATTCAAAGAGCTATTACGCAAGTGTTAACATTATTGTCTCTCTCAATGGTTACAAATTCATATCTTTTACAATGACCTCACCATCTATGAGAGTTACTCTTGGTTCAGCTATTGAAGGAACAATTATGAGTAAGACTGTTGAGGAAACACATGAGTTAATCGAAGAGATAATGACCAACAACTATTAATGAGGCATGGAACGTAAGGTACATGAGAAAACTGTTGGTATGTATGAACTTGATGCTTTTACTTTCATTAATTCAAAACTAGCCAATTTAACCAAAAACATTAAAGCCTTAGAAACCATCCCAAACCACTCTTGTTCATGTTATACATAACCCTTTTGTCTCTTATGAAAATTGTGATAAATCTTATACTATTGAAAAATGTCAATTTATGAAAAAAATAGTCCAATATGCCCAATAGTCCAAGCCTGCTTACAACCCAAATAGCAATACTTATAACCCAGGTTGGAGAAACCACTCTAAATTTTCTTGGAACCAACCCAACCACCAAGCCACTAACCAAAACACCAATTTCCATCCAAACCTGCCCCAAGAAAAAAAAAAACAAGTTTTAAAGATATTTTGACCTAATTGATGCAAGCCAATAATGTAACCATTCAAAGCTAAGCTGATGCTTTATAAAATATATTTATTTACAGTGTTTAAATGATTAATTTTTTTCTTGGCCTCTTAGCTAAAAACTAATAATTTTATTTCTAATGAGGCTAATTTTATTTTTGTAGGAAATTGAATGAAAGAGTGAATCTTGTCAAAAATTTGATAATTTTTATCAATCGTTGATGAATTCTTTAATAGCATTTAGAATGAATTCTTGCAACGTTCTTGATATAGTTCTGGATTTATTCTTGAATTGCTTGAAAATCTTGAAGTGAAAAGTGTCAAGATTAATTTTGTCGATTTAAGAAGTTAATCTCGATGAAAAATAGAGAAAATTTATGGCAAGAATCACAGCTAGGCATGGTTTGGTCATAAAGAATAGTTAGAATTTGTAATTTTAGTGAATGCATTGTGTAGGACACATGGCAACAGGATTACTAATGGATGACATTGGGTAACAAGTTTTCTTATTGGTTAAGAAAAATGATTTGGATGTTATGTGGCATGATGAGGTGGCAATTATGTTTATATGGGAATAGACTAAGTAACCCTTGATTTTTCCTATTTGGATTTGGATTTCCTATTCTTAGTAAGATTGTATTCCTATTTCTATTTAGAGTAGAATTTGAATGAGTTATAAAATGAGTATTCATAGTGAGGCAAAGCAAGAATTCTTATTGAAGGAAAACTTTAAATTTTCTTCAAGAATGAAGGGCATGTCGTGGGAATCAAAAGAAGTTTAAGATTATGCAAAGTTGAAGTCTTTCTTGAAGGTTAATACACTTTAAGCCGAACCTACACTCTGGTTTTGCAACATTTAGTTTTTGCTTTCTTTTATCCATTCTAGAAGTCGATACATGTTAAGAAAGGAAGATTTTTATGATCTAGAAAACAATAATTGATATAGAATAGCTTTTTTTGAAGAGTTTTACTTTCATTAAACTTCAAGAAGCATTCTTTGATTGAAGAAGTTTATTTGAATCGAAACAAATGAGTTGCTAATTGGAGTCCAAGTTGGTCGAACACTTCTTAGATTTTCTTTGTCTATAAATACTTTATTTAAGTCTTAGAAAATGGTGTAAGTGGTTGTTGCGTGACAGACTAACCTTAGCAACTTTAGCATTATTTAAATTTCTCGTTCTTGATTTCTTTAAAAGCTTTCTTGTTCTTTAATTTCTACTCTTTTAAATTTCAGTTTATTCAACTTTGTTTTCATAGTTTTTATTCAATAAAGTTTTTATTTAAGCATCTTTATAATCGGGTTTCTAGTGAATTCAATTTCTGGTTTGCGTATCTTTGCTAAAACAATTTCGATTTCATGTTCTTGGCATATATTGACTATTTGGAAAAGCTAGTCAACCCAATTAACAGGCCCTATCACGCGATTCTCTTTATAAGGTAGGTTCTCCTCTCTGGAAAGATTCCTATGGTAGTCTAGCTTTCGGCAAAGCTTTTAACCAAATAAAGAAAAAAGATAGTTGTAGTGCCTTCCGTTTCAAGGCAAGGTTGAAGAAAGACAAAAAACTTAACCAGTAAAACCAAAGCTGAAGCTTGCTCTTAGAAGAGGTTTTTTGGCCACTAAACTAAGCGCTTACTGGAGACTTGATCTTGACGTCCCTATAGATCCAGGATGCCCGACTTTCTGGCAAAGACCTAAGATACCATTCTTGGCCTATAACTAGCCAATTAAATATGCTACTTCTATAAGTACTTATAAATCCCCTAACACTAAACCGAAACCCAACACAACCAAAACCAATAAGCTGCCTACAAAAAGGGAAAGGGATGACAGGAGAAACAAGGGGTTGTGTATGTGGTGTGGAGCTAAATTTGTAACTAGTCATAGGTGCATGAGATCGCAACTATACCAGTTATTAGTGGATAAAGGTATGGAGCAGACTAATGAGTAAGAGGAGTTCTCTGACTGTCT